AGGTAATGCGTTAGGTATAACAATACATTATGTAGTGTTAGATAGTAAGTAAATAAGTATACATAAGTACACAAAGAAATATTTTGATATTGGCTTATTTATAGTGTTATCAACCGCACTTTAAAATTGATATTTGACATTGGCTTGTTTATAGTGTTGTCATCCGCACTAAATTGGTATTTTGACATTGGCTTATTTATAGTGTTGTCAACCGCACTAGATAAAAATAATAAATTATGAAGATAATAAAAATAACAATAAGTATGAGTAGCCAAATAATCAAATGAAAACGTTATGAGTATTTACAGGGTAGTAACAATAAATAAATAAGTAATCCAAGAATATTTCTCAAGGTCTCCTATCATTGGTAATAAAATTTCACGCAATTCTTGAGCCGTTTGGGTGGATTCAAAATTCGCGTTTCGTAATTTCAGTTCATAAATAATTTCTGGTTTATTCAAGTACGATATATCCATGATTAAAATTGATTATTATAAAAGAAATGAATGTCAAATCGTAAACGGAAAATAAATTACAATATTCTATTTTTTAAATATTAAAAATAATATTATTCGTCAAAAAGAAATCTCAGCAAATTTTTGAAAAAATTAAAGTAATGCCTTACGTACCTTTATATATACGGAATCTTAATTAGATTATTTACTATTAAATATTCCTGTTTTATAACACTATGTTGAGTACGTGTTTGTATGTTCCTCGATACAATGGCATCAGAACCGATCACATTTGTGACCAGCCAAAGTAACGCTGAACGTCTATTGTCTGTTTATGTGAGTAAATGTGATTGTGGTGTTGGTCGTAAAGTGTGCACTATTGTCTTCTATTGCAGTAGTCAGCCTATTTTTCAACCACGTTGCGGCGCCAGTGTTACGGGTTCGGTGCTTCGTCAATTAAATAGGCTGATCAGCTTGAGTATAATTTATTAATGAAATAAGGGTAATAATAAAAAACTGTAACAAACAAAAATAAATTTAAAAAACAGTTCGTAAGTTACTTAAACTAATACATTCTTATCAAATAAACGAATACATACCCCTTGTCGGGCTTCTTGTTACACTTTTGGATCGTACAAAATACAGTTTTAATTTAGTAAATATGTTATATTATTGTATCACCATAATATATGAATTATTAAAATTACATAGTAAAATTTATACCAATAATATTGTATTATATTATAATTTCATCTTGTGTATAGGAGAATTTCTTACGAACTGACATCCATAAAGAGTAAAATTGATTAGTCCAAATTTTAAATTACGAAAGACGAATAGTAAAATGAAATGATGTTGAATTTCAAAAGCAAAAAGTTTGCATACTGAAACCTAGGAAAACAAACGGTGGCATGGCACACCGTTACAGCCTTTTTACTTTTGATGCAGCTGTGAGTTGTTTGTCGAAATCGAATATTTTTCTAAATTATAAATATTTTTCAGTATAGCATTGTGAATACAAAGTTGCTTAAATATAATAAAGACTTTTCAATGCAGGTGCTCATAAAGCGCTATTTTTTTAAAGCATTGTAAACACCGAAAGTGAGTCTTTAAACACGTGCAAAAAAAATGTACTGAAATCCTTTACTGCACACGTGCTTAAAAGTATTTTTTTATTTTTTTTTTGGCTGAGCACAAAAGAAATTTAAGAAAAATTGATGAAAATGTGTCAAACTTTAGAGGCAAAAATATTTCAAGGAGCCTAGAACGAATATTTTCAAATAAAAATGTATGACACGAAAAAATGTTCAAATATCACGTTTAATTTTAACAAACAATTTATACCTTTAATACATACTTAGTTTTATTAACCTATATATTTGTTTTGTTTCCTCGCAAAAAGCATTGAAAAATGTTGTAAGAAACTTGAGCGTAAAAGGTTTTTCGAATTTGTGTCAATGAAAACACGAGCGTAGCGAGTTTGGCCCTTATTCGTAAAACCTTACTTTCCGCACTCGTATCTCAAATAACTATTCTATGTTTGATAGTGAATGCTAAATTTCTCAAATACAGGTAACAGTAGCTTTTGTCAATGTTTTACTTAAGTAATGTACCTATATTCAGTAAATATGTATTATAAGGATTGTTCATCCAAATAAATCCAACTCTGATATGATATGCATAAGGTTAGAACCACTATCATACATTACCATAATTTACTATCGTTATCGTTTACAATAGAACCCGTGAATAACTATTACTCTAATATTAATGACCATGAAAGTTTAAAACAACGTTATTGATATAACTCGTACAATTTAACATGATACCTGCGAGCCTATTTTATTTTCCCTCGAACGAATCTTATAATTTTGTTGAAATCATATTCGTGAAGATTATCTGAGTATTCTCGTAAAATACGATTCTATGGAATCGTAGTAGTACCTATTTCGGAAACAGACGAAATTTCATTTTCAGACAAATAGAATAGGCTTTCAGGTGTCATGATAATTCGTACGATTAGTAGGTATGCATAAAGGCCGACGGGTTTAGATTATCATCAACCAGTAGCTCGTTTGTCAAAAAAAAAGCGCATTAGTTCCTCTTTTGTGTAAATCACAAAACAAGTTCGCCGTGATAAGCGGACACAATGCACTTGACCTTTTACCGATTACTCAGTATATGTTAAGTTTTGAATTAATTACTAAAAATAAAAATATATGTTTATACAATGTTAATACTTATAGATATATTTCGACGTTACACCCTCGATATTTTTATCTATTATTTACTATTAGTCCATTTCCACATAATTTTACCACACGCTTTGAATACATTAAAGTGTTTAGGTGTGTAAAGGGAACGCAAAGCACCATTTTGTTAACATTCAATGTGGTCATTATTAGTTTTATTGTAAATATTAGTATACCTATCGCTAGGATAAAACATGATGAAATTTTTACTTCAATAACGGTTTTGAAAGTCCCCTTGTAATAGTTATAATATTTACCTAAATGTGTTAGCTATGGGTGGTAGACTAAGAGCCAATAATTAAGCAATTTAAATATGAAAATTACTGTTAATAAAAAAGGTTTGAAATTAATTTATTAAAAAAAATATATAATCCAAAGCTAATTAACTTCGGATTTGAGCAATTATGTGCTGGTATCTAATATTATAGTACAAAATGTGTCCGTATAGGTAATCGTTTAATACAAGACTTTTCTATCAACGTAATGTTCAAGGTTACTTTCATCTTTCAAGTCAAGTCGTAAAGTAATCAGAAATTCATGTAATAATCTCGTAACAGAAAAACAATGAAATTATATTTCAGAATCTTAGTCAACGAGTTTTATAGCGAGAGAGATTTGATTTTTTATTTGTTTGCATTTTGAATAGGATGCGAAACCATTTTAAAAATTGTTTTACACCTTTGGGAAGCTAATGTGTAATATATGCTACAATAAACGCGGGCGAAGTCGCAGGAAAACAGTTAGTAGTAAATTATAATTTTATAGTCTAAATCGTAAATATGAATCTTTCTTAGAATATATATCACATTTCTCGATTTTGACGAACAATTTAAATCTTTATGGAAGAATTTACATTTAAACGTTTGATAAACAGCATTCCTGCATTTCAACGCACGTCTAAGTCTTATTTTTCAACGTTTTCGTATTGTATTTTTACTATTAAAGACCGAACTAAAACGCAGTTTCCGAGTAATATTTATGTATTTAACACAAAGACAAATGAAAACAAGAGTAAACAAAATATTTATTTATTTAATACAAAGACTATAACTTTAAAAACAAGAGTAAACAAAATTCTTGTTAAAAAGATAATTTGGAATAAAGTTGGTCGTCAAAGATCACAATACCTTAAACATTTTACATCCTTATTTTGATATCGATTTAACGACACTACATTTATACGATAATTTACATGTGACGTTATCATACTGTATAGATAATATGTTTTGCAAATATAAATTTTAAATAGTATTCGTATATTATACGTGACGTAACATAAAGTAAAAATTGTTATGACTGAGCAACCTTATAATTTTAAAAACAATGCCAATAGTTAGAATTAATAAATAATTATCATAATAAATTAACTAATCAAATAAAATCTAAATAAGAACGAATTAAAAAAATACTTAATTAACTTTTTTTTCTATTATTATTTGATAAATTTTGCACTCAAAATGTTATACCTGAAAATTGAAAATAATGAAAATTTCTCAAAAAATTTGTCCCAAGTACCTTGAGATGGGATCCAGGACCTTTCGCAATCCGTAGAGCAGTCGCCCTTATTGCGTAAGATCGTGGGTTCGTGTCCCTTTTTTCATTAAGAATATTATTTTTTCTAGATACACATTTATCACTGTTGCTAATATTAGTAATAGTCATGTTTTATCTAGTAAAATGTTACGTATATAATTTGTATTTTGTTTGTTACGTATATATTTGATTTTTTGTTATTTAATTTTACATTCACAATGCTATATTGGAAAATATTCTTAATAAAAAATGCTTAAAAAATCCACTTTATCCCTGGAACTCTGAGATGAAATTCGAACCCACGACCTTTCGCAATGTTTGGGTGGAGTGCCTGAACATTGATGACAATACGCTCTGTAGTAGCTAAAAAGTAATAAGTGCTGGATAAATACTGTTAGGTCCTGGGTAGATCAGTGGGTAAAACAGTTACCAGGATTGTGAAAGGTCCTGGGTTAGAATCCCATCTCAGAGTACTAGGGATAAAGTGTATTTTTAAAGCATTTCCATAAAGAATAAGTATAGGTACATAATACTTCTATTGTAAAAAGTGAAAAATAATCTTCTTAATAGCATAGTGATTCTTGCAACTCTTGCAAGGGTCAAGAGATGGGCCTAAAAATTATTATCTCGAGGTCCTCCGTACTTCAGAAGGCACTCCAATCAATCCGGACTAGGCCTGTGTGTGCTCTACGCACAGGGAAGGTCTACGCCCCAGCAGCGGGGACATAATGAAAAGTAATGGTTTTATATTTGTTTGCAGCCTTACCATTGGGTGAAACTGATATATCGAATGCGGCGGCAGACGGAAATTGGGACTTGGTGCATAAACTGTAAGTTTACATTATTATTAACTAAGGTTACCAACTTTCATGTTTTACCAGGACTCGTCCTGAATAGTTTTTTAGCAACGTTCTATGTTTTTAAGCACCCTGATTAAAATTAAAATCCTCCTTTGCAATTTTCACGTGACAGACGACTTATTAGCATAGCAGACATGTTCTGTTTTTAAAGGACAAAAGTTATAGACTAAAGTAGTAAAGTAGTTTCAGTTATTGAATTTCACATAAGTATTCTATTACTATGTCCTGTGGTTGAATTAATCATATTTAAACCAAGGTGTTGGTAGCCCTACCGATAGATTGCATCCACGCAAGGAACGCCTATTTGATACATTGTTACATATATATTTGCCAAATAAATAAAAAGCCAATAAGGTATAATAGGTCAGGTAAACTATTGTAGAATACTAAATACGTATTTTTTTTTTAATTTTCGCCTGATCAATAAATTAAAACAATAAATTTCGTTGAAATGTCACATGAAATCACGCCATGTTATAGTAGTTGCTTCTTAATTTTTCTCGTTTCATGATAAATAAAATAAAAATAAATAAATATTATACAACATCACATACATTGCTCAGATTCCACGATGAGTAGCTAAAGCCCCCATATTATGGAGTATCTGAAACAGCGAAGGCACCACAACACCCAGACCCGAGACAATATAGAAGAGTTCATTTTCTTTATTGTATCGACCCAATCGGGATCGAACTTGGGACTTCAGAGATGGCGATATTTTGAAACCGGCGTGCCAACCACTCGGCTGCGGAAGTCGTTTTCTCAAGTTAATATTTAAGTCACGGAAAACTGTCTTTATTAATATTGTTAATTTTTTTTATAGAATCAGTGAGAGGTTCAACGACAAAACTGTCTGGGAGGTAATTATTATTATTATTACTTAAATATTCCTGAATATACTTATAGAAAAATATTAAACTGATGACCACTGTAAAAAGCAGAGTGAATGTTTTGCTGAGTGACAAAAGATCCGTGAGGTCTAGCGTTACCTTGATAAAAATCCACAGCTCTTCTATCGATTAGTTCGGGCTGCTTTCTCTCATCTTCCTACTTTAATATCACCAGTTATTCGCTGTAGAGTTCAGAATCCACAGTCCTGCCTGGCGGTAACAGCTCATAATGAAGAATGCTCTTCCATTCCCATTGACTATACTGAAAACGCTTAAACCAAATTTGTGCTATTCTCACAGAAATTGTACTAGGTCCATAAACATCTCAATTTTTTTTCACGCTTGCGTTCCATTGATTCCTTTTCGTAATAACATTTTTAAATGTATTTTTAACAGTAAAACAAATGAAAATTACACATTTTCGTAATTTGAATCGGAGTTATCTTCTTTAAAATTTTAACTTTTTAATGATACAGAAACCAGCCATATACAATTGGTGCAGCCAGAAAGATTTTATTACTAATTTATGCATAGATATAATATGCAGAAATACTTTTTCACCAACCTTTTGTAATAGTATTTTCCCCAATATCTCACGATTACAATTCACATCATATGTTTAAGTAGGTGACCTAAATATTTGTTTGGTTTAAAAAAATCATTTTTTTCAGCCAAGCATCTCGAGTGGAAGTGTACGCAGCTTAAGACCTCCTCAAGGCGGTCACGTGTATGGAGAGGCCGAGTACGCATTCCACGAGTCATCTAACATCAACGGCAAGAAAACTGAAAGAAGCGGAGGCCACAAAATAATAAACAATGACGGAAGAATCCACGAATACGATTTCGATCCGAAGTTCTAAAATATGACCGAATTCTTTGACTGTTAACTAAGGAAAAGTTTACATTTGTAGCAATTTTAAGGCAGCGAAACGCCCAAGTCACAAGAAAAATAGGATATCACATAACTATACTCTTTAGAAAAAAATCTTTCAGTCAACACATTATATACTTTTTATGTAGAATACAATTTTAATGGGCGTCGATATTTTACTACGAAAGTTTGTATCCTGTACAGATTTTAAAAATACGTGATTTTTTGTGTCTGAAATGCTTGAAAGCAATTTATTGATTAAAACAGTGAGAAATTAAATGATGATTCCACATCATTTACAAGTCTTTTTTGCTGCTTTACTAAATATCTATGGTGGCGGTATCCGGTGCATTAAAATGTTACATATGTGAACACAGAATCAATAAAATAAGTCAGTAGAAATTATTGGCCTATGAGTTTTTAAAGTTATTTACCATAAATAATTAAGCGAGAAAATAGTTTACAGTGGCTGTATAACATTCATTCGTCAAGCCTCATAGACAAAAAGAAACTACCGCTTATAAGCATGAGAGTGTAACATAATTTTTTTATTAAATACGCATTATATGTACGCATTATGAATACTTAAAACTCATGGGCCATTTCGTAAATACCAAATCATAATAATAATACAATATATGTATAACAATACAATTTGTATTGTTTCAGTAATAAGATCCGTTTGAATTTTAATTTATACTAATACTAAATACTAAAACAAGAAAATTAACATTCACTATAATTAAAAAAGAACTTTTAAAAATGTGTAGCAGTTTAGATTTGTATTAATTAATAATTTAGTATATGGAATACAATAAGTGCCATTCTAATTATTATTTTAAAATTACATTATTATAATTATCTTTTAACGTATTAAGTGTAGAAATAATGTTCGAAGAAATAATTTACCTGCTGAATGATTATGTTACAGAGTTACATTATAATTCTAAGTTGCCGATTTCATTGCTGAGAGAGCAAATTATAGTAATTTCTCTATATGTAATTTTATTTGTCTAGGTTTGAATGAATTCAAATTAATTACAATACCATCATTTGTGAAATTATTTAATCGGATAAAGTACAATGTAAAACTGGAATCTGTGATTAAAATCTAGAAATATGGAATAAAACAATATTTAGATACATTCTATTTCGATATTTTATTCAATATCCCCATCTTAGTTTTTTTTTGTTCCATAACTGAACAATAGTCATGAGTTAAAAAATAACTGGTATGTTATAATTATAAAGTAATCGGGCAATTGTAACACAATATATTTTATAAAAGAATTGGACAGAATTATTTCTTAATTTAGAATAAGAAATTGAAAAAGAAAGTTATTTTCTCAACAGTGGACATAAAGTTGTAAAGAAGAAATACTTATATTTATAATACACCCCAAAATACTCAATTATTATGTATGGATTCGAATAAAAAAAATGTTTATTTCATGAAGAGCTTATTTTTCAATTATGTTGTCAACGGCAGATTTTAATAACATGATTTAAAAGATATGAAGTAAATATATTTCTTAATGAAAAATGCAAAAAAATCCACTATGTCCCTGGTACTCTGAGTTGGGTACTAAGATAATATGAAAAGAGATAGGTTCTAATCCCATCTCAACGTACCAGGCCAAAGTGGAATTTTTAAGCATTTTCATTAAGAATATTTTACAGGATAGCATTGTGAATACAAAATTGAATAAATAAAATATATTATCCTTTGTTAATTTTCTAGAAATCTTCATGATAATATGTAGGTATCTGTTCTGTACAGTTTTACTATGCTATGATGGCACAACAAACAATAAATCCTTATATATTCTCACGGCAATATCGCTTCGTCGCAACCATGCTACTTTTATTTCATCTATCTTTTCTCGAGAGCGAAAACCGCTATTGGTTTCGCCTGCGTAGTATACATGATGAGTTGATAGTATTTTCATCTCTTGGTGACTATTTACTGGAATATTCAGTACCTTGTATATGTTAATCCAAGCTTAAAATTATCTTTATACCAAGTTTCATCAAAATCCATTCAGTAATTTTAACGTGAAAAGTAATAAACTTCGATATTTTCGCATTTACGATATCTGTAAGAAGGTAACACCAATTGAGATTAAAATTTAATTTCATGGTACAGCAACATTTATGAAAATTATTCAGACGGTTTGGACTCACAGTTATCATTATGGAATTAAAGAATATATTTCTAACGTAATAAAACTCAATCATGACGAATGTTGCCAAAATGATAACAATTTACTCTCATTAGTTTTACTTACTAACAATTAAACATGGGTATTATCAGTTTGTGTGATCACGTAGGTACAAAAAAAAAATTATACATGTAAGGTACGTACACGGTGAAATACACTAGTTTCATGCTTATCACCAGCCCTACGATTCTGTAAAAATCAGAACCCGAATTCGAATTCACTCAAATATCAAAATTCACTTCAAAAGCGGCATCTGCTCAACCTTGTTTTGGTAGTTGAAATGACATAGTGATAGAATAATCAATCAATTTTGTTTCTTATTTTTATAAAAAAAAAGAATTAACAGAATTTATTCACTAAATAACATTAATTCGGACACATGAGGGAATTTGAATTCGGGTTCAGGTTTTTACGGAATCACTCCACATGATATTCTCTCTGGGCCACGTCCCGCTACACATTCACGTAAAACTAAAAAAAAAACTTATATTAAAGCTTTAACATTTCTTTGCTTTCCTTTTGGATGGAAAAATATTTTTACAGATTGTAGTTATAGATGTAATAACGCTGTTGTTAATAATTAAATATAAATTTTATTATAATTATTTTTATCCTTTATAATCCTACCAATATTATAAAGGCGAAAGTTTGAAGGTTAGGATGTTTGATGTTTGTTATTTCTTCACGCAAAAACTACTGAACGGATTTTGATGAAATTTGGTATAAAGACAATTTTTAGTCTGGATTAACATATATGCTGCTTTTTATCCCACTAAAAGGTTGCCTTAGGTTAAAAAAACCTCCGTAGGCGCCTATCTTTGTGATCGCTACTCAAACGGTAAGAGATATACGAATGCTTTTTAAAGGTTAGAGAGCTTTAAATTATCTAGAAAAAGTCTGCAATGGGATATACTTATCTCTGTGCTAAGGTTTTGCTTCAAAAGTAAAAAAAACTTCGTATAAGTGTATTTAAATTTAATATAATATACATAAAAATTAACTTTTACACTAAATAAATTGGATGAATAGATTAGATTGTACTACGATATTTTCGAGAAAACAAAATTACTTGACGCTTTTCTGAATACTATTTTGTGTGCATGTATCTATTACAGTTTACCAGCATTTTTTCTAATGTATACGGTAACATGTAAATTTATAAAGACTGTAGCGATGATATTATTGTTTCACCAATAAAAATAATGAATTGACGACGGTTAAGAGTTTAGTAACACCTATTTAAGTCGATATTGGCAGTCTACATACCCAAAAAAAAACACCTGGAGTAGTGTAGAGCTTATATAATAGTGAAGAAAGATGAAAAATATTAGCTGCACGAAACTATAATCGACTGAATAAATACTGGGAATCATCAACGAAAAGAGACGGCGGCAAGGGCTGCCGTATAACTACATTGGTTGATATTGAATTGCCCTCAACTTTTAATATGATTGTTAGATCACAAATGTAGTATGATTAATCGGATTGAACTCAATGCAATTGAATTTTGAGTGCATTGTGATTAAATTCAATACAATGAAATCGAAGCCAATTTCGCCTGCTAAAAACCATAGAAAACAGAAAAGGAAGTGTGTATAGACACTTCATACAACAAAATATAGTCTTTCAAACAACTTCTTTTAAATCGAGGTGGAAGCAAAAATAAGTAAACTACAAGTAAAACTTTGATTGTGCTAAGTATAATGTCAGTTCACACTAGCTTAGAAACTCGGACGATTGCATACAACAGTATCTTCTAGACCAAAAAAATAATAGAGATAAACTTGAGCTATGTACATAAGCTTTGGTATTCTATGGAAAACACATTGTCAAAAATACCGGTCAAGTGCGAGTTGAACTTGCGCAAGGTTTTCAACATTTCAATGAGAAAAATTTGGTTGTTAGGCAACCCCATAAATCATTATATTATTCTATTTTTTGGTATTTCTTATTACAGCGCCAACGGAAATTAATTATCTATATAGGTTTATGGGATGGATGGACAGCGAAGTCTAAGTAATATCCCGTTTTTTATCCTTTGAGTATGGAATTCTAAAACGAATCTCATTGCAAAAAATCTTCGCTAAGTCATTATATTGCATTTCAAGTTAAGTAAAGTTTTGATGGTATTATTTTGAGGATATAGTCTTTTAAACAATAAATGTGCAATATGGATACAAGAAAACAATCAAATTGAAATCCAATTTATATTTTTGATTTTAGTTCAAAATAAATGACTATCAATACTAATATCACGCAAACGAAGATGCGGGCAAAAGCTAATTATATTTATAATTTCAATGTTACAAAAAATGTCAATGAAACATTATATATTGTTATCTTTGTGTTGTTCTATTAAGTCGACGCCAAATAAAAACCTATTTGACGTATGAAATACAAAGCCCTTAATAAAAATAACTATTTTTCAAAAAGAATGATAGACACAGTCAAACTATTCTATAGAGCCAAGGTTATTCCTATTTTAGGCTCTAAAGAACTTTCTGAACATAATGAATAGAACAAATTTCATATTATTTCTATTTTGGTATAAATATCTTTTTAGCTTCATTTTCTAATTTCTCTTTTCGAAGTTCTTTAATCGAAAAGAACTACATATTATAAACAGCTATGACTTCATTGACTCATACTGACTATCTATTACTTTTTACTGATGATTAGGCCTCGTACTGGCGTGGCGTACAGTTTACAGTTTACTACACAGGAACTTGATAGTGTAGTGGTAAGTAATACGGAAGCTATGCAATTTTTGCATAGGCCGGTCCTAGCATGACTGACCAAAAATCTATTATCTGGAACTGCTCCGTGCTTTGGAAAAGAAGATTAGCCATTGGTCCAAGCTTCATCTGCAATCGTTAACAGATAATCCACATTGGGTCCGTCTGGTGGGTCTTGGCCCATTTTTCCTATTCGATACCATCCATAGAGAAAGCCTATGCTCCAATAGAAAGGAGATAAATAGTCTGGTAGTGAGTAGAAATTACAATAATCTCTACTCTGGTACTGAGTAGAAATTACATAGTCCAAGGAACATTTTCCATTTGAGTTTAATATAAAATCAAGAAAAGGCAACCTTTTGGAGTGCTGCTGATCATAAAGAACAAAACATTTTAGCTTTCAAGAGAAACGGTTTTATTGTTTATTATTGGTTCGTAAGTGAAGCACTCTCATATTTGTGTGCAGATTGTTTTTTTTTATTTCATGTCAATCTCCATGTTAATCCGCTAAGATGTTGATTATTAAACGAATAATATACAGCTCATGTTAATTCGATTCGGGTTTCTATTGAACCTGAAACTTTTTTATATACGGCTGTGCAATTTTGTTAAAAACAGCCTCGTCGAACACAATGCTGTGACAGCATAGAGCTTCAATGAAATAAAATAAAAGTAGATTTTCTTTGTTTTTTTTTTTAATAGGATACCATGGAGAATATAGCACTGCTGTGTAAACTTCTCTTGTGTGTAACTCTACTAGTGCAAAACGACACCTGCTACTTATAATACCTAATCATATATTTTTTTAGTATAATAAAACAAAGATTTTTACACAATTTCTGTTATATGTTATTTTAAACTGACATGGCCTTTAACATCAAAAATATCGCTAAAAACAGAATTGCTACCATGTACCATAAATTTCACGAGTTCTCAATATTTACTCTGTTATCATGGAGCTTGCAACAGCGCAAAATATGAAGTGGATATTTGATAACGGACGCTAAACGCTTTGCGGATATCGTAATTAAATTTTGTTTAATCTTTAAGCGTTCCATCCCACTGAAAGATTAAGCTGAAAACCTTAATATATTTTTACGTTATGTTAATAAAGAAAATGTTATTTTCATCTTTTATATGTTCGCCTTTTAAAAGTGACGTTTCCCAATTTGTTTTTAACAATTTTCAAGTCAACTAATGCAAAAATGATAGCAATTTGATATAATTGGATAGTCATGTAGTTTATAAGTGCCAAAAACTAACAGAGTTACCATTACCAGCTTAGTTGAATCCATTAAAGCACTTACGTTAGTGAATTCTAAGATTTTTTATTGAAGACTAGCTTTCCGAAAGCGGCTTCGTCTGCGTGGTATCTAGGAAACTTTATTTGGTTATTTTTTCATAATCATGATACATGGTATCGTTTTAATTCCCTGTACAAACTTCCTTTCCCGTTTTAATCTCTTTATTTGCTGTTTTTCAGGTTGAAATATAGCTTATGTTCACCGCACATGATGTAGTTTCCAGTGGGTGATAGAATTTTTAAAATCAGTCCAGTAGTTTCGGTTTTCGGGTAGTTTCGACTGTTCGTTAGAAACAAACAGTCAAATGTTTCCTTTTTAGAATATTAAGTAGAGATAATTGATGTATGATCATATTATTTAGACAAATTATTACAAGGAAACAAGACAGGGACTTGGTGTTTTTGTTTGTTTGATGTATTAATCACATACCACTTAGCTATTCTTTGCGATGCCGAAACCTTCCAGGACTTAATTACGTCATACATAACCAGCATCCGGTACCTACACTTCGTGCGATCTCAAATTCTGATAGATGGGTAAGA